GAAGAAAAAAAATGACATAATAAAACCAGATTAATGACAACAAATACATGTATTAAAATTTTGAAAACTGTGACTCTGGATATGAGCGCCATCACTCTTTTCTGTCTTCAGGCAGTGCCAGCTTTTTGTCACAGGGCAGTAGAGCCGTGGTTTAAGCACAACCCTAAGTTACCAGGGTAGTTCACATTTGTCATTGTGGAGGTTTTTTTTATCCTGCTACCCTGGTCATAGTTTTTCTCTAGTGCAAATCAGTGAACTTGTGTTTGTTTCAGGTCACTATGCACAAAAGATTTTATTACTGAAAATGACTGAAAAGTTCAGTATAAGTGTGGTAGAGAAACATCATCCTGAATGACACCTACATGTATTATGTATGTAAGAGTTACCCTTTTCTTCATAAAATGCTCAGATTTCATGTGTGTTTATTTCAGTTTGATGTATTTCATACAGGAACGGGCACAGAACAGCAGTAAGAGAATCTCTGGCATCAGCTACATAATAAAAAGAAGATGATTTGATCATTTTAGATCAGATAAAATGCAAAGTGATCCTATACATCATTTGTGGCAGACAGTTTTTTCATGATTTGTACAGCAACTCATTATTGTCACTGAATTTGAACTTCCTTGATTAGATTGCTGTCATATTATGGACAGATATATGTATATACTTTGGTAAATGCAAGAGAAACACTTTCTCCCCATGAACTTTCAGTCACCTCGATACACTATCTTATCTTTGCACTAAGTTTCAGGAACCAAGCCAAGAGAGACTTTCTCATGAATAAACCGAGAGCTAGAAAGAAAAATGACAGACATCACTGTGCTCATACTGGTGTGTTAAGCATATCAGTGTGAGGGCTTGTGCTTGTCTGCGACTGTGTGTGTTCCTGCTCTTACATATGAGAGGAAGGATGAGTGGAAAAAATAGTGAGCGTTGGAAGACACAGCAAGGGAAGAGAGCGAAGTGGAGAACAGAAACAGGGAAGCAGAGAAGGGAAAGGAGATTGGAATCAGGCACAATAGCAGGTCTGTGTCTTTATTAGAGGAGCAGTCATAGTTCAACTTAACCTTGACTGACTGGGCGACTGTTATTATTATCAAGACTGACGTCAAACTTTCTCTCTTTGTCCCTTTCTCCTCTCCCCCTCTCTCTTGTTCTCTGCTCTGTTCTTTTTCCTTCCTTCTCTGCCCCATCCCAGAGGGAGCACCCAGCAGGGTGAGTAGTCGTGTATGTGTGCACGCTGCTATAAGTGTCGTGTACGCCCACATTTTACTGTGCGCACGTGTGTGTGTGTGTGTGTGTGACAGTGAAAAATTGAGGGAAATGGAAACACACTGTAAAGTGGCCTCTAAAAAATGGCAGTGTATTGCTGAAGCTCAGCCAGGAGTAGTGCAGCTCAACAGCGCTATCAGCCTTGAGCTTGTCAAGGTTTTCTACATCACACTAATATCTGAGCTCACAGCATTTCGCTATTATCTGGAAGGAAGTACAAACTAAGTGAAGCATTTGTTTGTTTACCAGTGCCACAAATCTTCTTGTAATCTTCAAGACTTACAGAACAAGTGAAATTATTAAAGCCCAGTTTATGGCAAATACTGGCCAAACACTCCAGTCTGTAGAAATAAGCAACTCTTACTCAAAATAGGCCAACGTTGACACCCCTGATATCTGTTTGATGATTCCCAACAGTGTCGTTTGTTAATATTAGGTGTACTGTTGCACAGCTGCCAATACTGTAGTGAAGTGAAACTGTTTCCTAATGAAACCTGATTGTGTGCTTGGATAGGTACATTCATCAGGGTAAGAACATGAATCACGAAGCAGTGATAACATTTCCGTCTTTCCTGTTGTTGTCTTTCTTCTAACATAATGACTTTTTGCTATAATACTGATGTGGCTTTTTTTAGATTAGAAGGGGAAATGTTTTTTTTGTTTTTTTATTAATAGAACCATTGTTCAGAAATACTGCCAACAAGTCTTCTTACCTATACAAATCTATATGGCCTATGTCCCTTCCCTCTCCTACAACCGGTAGAAGCACCTCCTTAAATAGTTAGTGCTCCTACAGTAGCAGCCCGAATTGCAACAACTGCGCCAACATTAATGTCAACTTACGTTGCACTGCCGATTGGTACACACTTCTGTCCTCATGAAAAGAGCCAAAAACACAATGGCTAGCTAGTGAGCAGCAAGCAGACCCCTGAAACTATAACAATTATGAAACCATCATGTTTTCAATATGTTTTGCCACACAGACTGCTTGGTTAGGTTTAGGAACAGAAACAGTGTTGGTACATTTAGGAATAAGCTCTTTTGGAAAGCACAAGCCACACACTGGAATTTAACCTCAAGGGAAAGTCCAATGTTATCCACCCCAGCCTCCTTCTAACAAGACCTTTGTGACTATATGCTACGTCATGTTAATTTCTCCTTTCTTCTTGTCATAATGAGTAGATGTTGCCAAACTATAACTTGTAACAGTTGGTCAATCGTCCCTTAATTAAATGTACTGTAAAGGTGAGATGTGAGAGTAAGGTGTCTCAAATTACATAATTGAAGGATTAAAAAAATCTTAAGTGAAAGTGTATATTGTATATACAGTAAGTGTTTATCCTCCCTTGTGGATTTTGCACATATTTATTGTCACCATAGTTTAGTCCCTCTTAGTCGTCCAGAGAATTAATGCAGTGCGAAGGGGATGATTGAAATTCTGTGGACATCTATGGCTTGTCCCATTCTTTCTCTGGCAGCAGACTGCTCTGCTTTATGGAAGCTGTGTAAACACCTTCTAACTGAACTGGCTGCAATGGGCAGCTAGCCTTCATCAGTGTAACTGTTGATAACAAAGAGGGGGGAGGGGAGCAGGGTTGGAGGGAGATGGAGAGTGAAATTGGAAAAGGAAAAAGAGAAAGGGACCAAAGAGAAAGTATAAAACAAGAAAAGTAGGGAGTGAAAGGTTGTTAAAAATACCAGCAAGTCTTTGTTCTGGCTTTTATTGCGAAATGAAAATGATTTAAGAGCGCTGCTGACTTTATTTTCCTCCCTCTCTCTCTATCTGCAATGAACCCTTTAGCATAATTTAATTGCTAAACACAATGCTGATTGTTAAGCACCGGTAAAATATTTCTGTCATGAGTTCAGGTTTGTGCCGAACTTAGCCAAGCATTACAGCATTTGGGAAGAGAGGGGAGAGACGCATATCAATTGGCATTTGTTGGAGTGCTCTGCAGCAGTAAAACATGTTGGAATTTTAAATTGGGGTGGGTAGGAGAAGGGAGAAGGTAGAGGAGGAGGAGAGAAAGAAGAAAGAAGACAGGGAAGTTTGTTGAGCTGCACTGAGGTCCATTGTGTGGCTTCTCCCCTCCTCTGTTCAGCACTTCTTCCTGGCAGCCCCGTGGGCTCCTTCCTGAGTGACTCATTGGTGTGTTAAACCTGCACTGTTCTTGTCCTCCCACAGGGGGACAGGGAATGAGAAGTGGCCCTCACCAAACCTCTGGCCTCTGCCCCAGTGCAAAAACAACACAATGCTTTGATCGGCTTTTCTGAGTGCTGAGCACCAGGCCAGGCTGTACTGTAAATAAGCTTGCACAGCTTTATTGCCCAATAATGAGAGTCATATTTTACATGAGCACTGTGTGTCAAGGGCAGAGCACTAACTAGCTTTGTCGGCTGCCCTGTGTGCTTCTATCGCTATGTCTTAACCTGTGCTGTTGTGTGTGTATCCTTGTATTAATATTGTGTTTTTGTGAGGCTTACACTTAATGAATGTGATTCTGTCCAATGTACTATTTCTTGTATTTACCAGAGCTTATGTCGCCAGATTGTGTGTGTGTGTTTCTTCACATCATGACCTGCACAGTGGCAGAAGGGATTGTGTTTTATGGGATGTTGCAGCGCTGGGAGATTTGTTCTTTTATTTCTTTGTCAAATATGCAGTACAGACTTGCCTGTGACAGTGTGAGAATTGTGTTCACACTTTTTTTTTCTGTGTCCCTGTCTTACCCCAGAGTAAGTCTGTGTCATCAACAGACAGTCAGCCCACAGAGGAGCGCCAGGGCCCATCAGGAGGCTATTCCTCTTCACAGGGTGGAGCTGAGGCCAAGAGGAGGCGCTGTGACGACAAGGAGCCTCTCCCATCACATTCCTATGTACGCGTTTGTGTCCTTGTCCTTATAAGAGGAGATACTATAAACATCAAAGGATGCTTATGGTTAAAACTGAGTAGATGCTGAAGCACATGTAATGCAGAACAAGAAAAATAGGCATAAAAATAACATGAACAAAAATTAAACATAGACAGCTAAAATTTCTAATTAACTGCAATTAATGTAATATTGTTGTGCTTGTAGGTATAATGTTTTACCACAGTTTCAAGTCATACACCACACATCACAAAAGGCATGTGCATCTGTGTGGTTGTGTGTGTGCTCATGTACAAGTGATACTGCCTATGACATTATAGGCCACACAGGGGTTTGGGGCCCCGTTGCCAATTAGAACTGTGTTTGGTTTGGATGAGTCCAGTGGGAAAGAGCAGGGAGCCAGAGGCAATGTAATGCCAGAGGAGCGATGGCCAAAGCAGATAGCTGTAATGAAATAGATGGCTGTGTGTTTGCAGTCTGGAGGATTGATTGACACTGGGAGTCTGTCTCTCTAAGATGGCCTCCAGCTAAATCAGTTTGGCATCAACAACAGCAGTCAAAATCATCCCATTAGTTCAGAGCAAGAACAAGCACAGATAGTTTCCACTTTCTGAATGTTTTTCATGTCTTTCTGTCTGTCGAACCACATTACAGCTCCCCTTTCTCTCTGCTTGATTTTTGCTCTTCTATTTCTCTGTCTGTCTCTTTATCACTGTCTCTGTCTCCTCCTTGCTTTCTTTTCATTTTTATTCCCCTCCCCAGTGTGTGTGCGCCCCTCTCTCACTGTCTGTTTCTGTGTTTTTGTCCTAGGAATTGGCTGTAGATATAGGCCTGTTTTGGCTCTATATAATTAGCTACTGATGTCACTCCACACTGATGTCAATAGGAATATCAGGCCATGATCACATCAAAGCGCTGTTGCCATGGTGACTAAGTGCCATCGTTCTCACCCCTGAAAAAAGGAGCAAGAGAGAGAGAGAGAGAGAGAGAGAGAGAGAGATGCTAGATGAAGAGCAAAAAATGTGCCATAGATGGAGAAAGAGCAACAATGACTGTCTGGTTGTGATCAAAATAGTGTTTGTATGAAGCAGATGTTTGGTGAGAGTATATGGCTTACAACACATCTGTGTTAAATGTTGCACAGTGGAAGGAAGCAAAGAGCAGCAGGTGATGTTGGTCCATATTGATCTGTGTATGCACTAGTTTCTGTCTTTAATATTAAAGTTCTCTGTGTACACATACTGTATACTATGTGTGGATGAACTGGCTTTGTATGTAATTCAGTGTAACACTTCCGTCTTAACATCAGTGTTTACAAAGCTCAGAATGTTTCAGTTTTTGGTGAAATTGTCATAAATCTATAAATTCAATTATGCGTTTATTATTGAGGTCATAGTTGTAGGTGGTGTTGTACTGAACTATATTATATTCAGAGGTGCAGCTAATAAAGCAGCCAGTGAGTGCAACTTTGTATTCACATTGTTTTTGTGTTTTTTTTTTTTTTTTGTGTGTGTGTTTTTGCTCCTTAGGACAGTGACGGAGACAAGAGTGAAGACAATCTTGTAGTGGATGTCTCCAATGAGGTAAATGGCCGATCTTTCTTACTTTAAATGATTGGCATCCTCTTAGAAAGTGGTTATGATACATATTTTTATTTAAACTGGTGATGTGAAAGTCATCACTTGTAGTGTTGAATGCATCAGTAGTTATCACTCGACTTCTCCTCAGCTCTGCATAGCATTTTAGCAGCTTTCATGTCATTGTCTTGGCTTTTCACAGACCACACCTTTACTGTTTTGGTTTTGTGTCAGCTCTATCATCAACCTCACTTTGGCTGCAGCAGGCAGCTGTTTTCAGTGGAAAAAAAATTCTGATGAACTCCTGCACTCCGCCAGCTCAGCACCAGACAGACTACGAACTAAAGCCGTTTTCACACATGAAGTCCAGACTGTCTGTGGAATCAGGCACGGTGGGGTGCGCGGTGGGGGGTGACTGGTGCGAAACCAGAAGAATACATACATCCGATGGTAATTTACAATGAAGATGCAAACAAAAACATCTAAGTGGAGACACATTTGGATTTATGAAATTTTGTTGTTAAGAGCCAGTGCTAGAGCCATCAGACAAATTTAAGGTATGGCAAGAGTCTTGGTTGTTTATGACCAAATTACAAACTGGCTATGTGATCATGTCACGTCTCGCCTCCTGAAGCTCTTCTCAGGTGTGTAAACCAAGTAGAGTATTTCCAGCAGGTGAGAACACGTCTGACACAGGCTGCCTGCTGCTGTGTGCTACATGTGTGAGTGGGCAACTCTGGACAAAGTCCGGGTCTGATTTGGCAGACAGTGTCTGAAGTTCATGTGTGAAAAAAGCCTTAGTTAATTTCAGGGTTCCAGTGCATGTCTGAAAGGGGCTAAAGTTAACAGCTAGTTGGTAAACACAGTGCAGCATTTATAGTAGCAGCTAAAGAGAGGGCTAATTTATACATCTTGTTGAAAGAAATTTCCCCATCACATAATAGTTTCATCTGACTGCCTCAAAGTATTCCTCCTTGATGATAAATATTTACTTGCAATTTTTCTTCTCCACTATAGGAAATGTGTAGCTCACTCACAGAAGTCACACTCCACTTTCTCTCCCCACAGCTCCTCACAGCTACATCCTTGTACAAGAGCTGTACATCTTATTACAAAAAGTATCTTTGATTTTCTTACAGAGTCACAAGTTACAAGCTGCTTTTATCTGACAGAAGCTCTCTGACACTGCTGCAGCCCACACATAAATAAAGCATGAATCCAACATTGAGAGGACCAGCACGACTCATGGGAATAACTATAGATGTACTTGGCACAGCTTGGAACCACCTGTCCTTTGCATAACCCTGCCTGTCTGGCTGTCAGTGGTTCAGTTTTACTATTGTGTGTGTGTGAAACAGTTACACTTTTAATTGAATGTTGTTGTTTTTTTTATTTTACTTTACAAATTTGCTTCATGTCAGTGTCCTTTTTTGGAGAGGTTTGCTCTTTTTTCTCTGTATTGTCATTTTGCACACAAAAGCAGAACCGACCACTTGTGTGATTTAGAAACTGGTGCAAAAGCAGAAAGAAAACATGGGGCAAATGTGGGTAATGGCACAAAAAGGAAAAGATGTTCACTGGTGAGTGGTGTGTGTGTTTTAGAGGCAATGTACAGGTGTTTGAGCATATGTGTGTGTGTGCATTCCTATTTGTGTATAGTATGTGTGTACATATGTGTAGTTTACAGGCAGTTATTACTGTTTTTGTTCATACATTTAAAATGTTACATTCCATCGGGGCTGAGGTGAACAGTTAGAGTACTGACTGAGCTATAGATTAATCCTCTGGTCAGTGAAACGTCGGAATCTTTTTGTGTCAAAACAACATCCGCAACCCAAATGTAATCATTTTTATATTATCAGATACAAAGAAAAACAACAAATATTTCAGGTTGAAGAAGCTGAAGCTAGTGAATATTTAGAATTTTGCTCAGAAAATGATTTAAATGAATTGATAGTTGGAGCTTAACCTCATTTCTGATGATCAATAAATTGTGTTTAGGATAGTACTTTTTGTTTTGCTTGTGTGCTCTTTTGTTTAATGTAATTTCATCTGTAGCAACCTTGGTTTGCTTGTGTGTGTGTGTGTGTGTGTGTGTATGCATTTGTGTCAGCAGCTGTGTAGCTAGTTTAGCCTTTTGCTGCACATTTCCTTGTAAACCTCCCATGTAAGCTCATTACAGGCTCTAGCTATCTGTTCTCATCTGCCTCTGTATGTTTTTGGTAATTTTCCAATCTCTTGAAGCCTCTGTTCCTCCATCTCTCCACCGTTTCTTTTCCCTTCATAACATTTTTCCCACTCCTCTCACCTCTCTCCACCTCCTCCCTTCTCTCATTAGATAACTGCACTCTGCTGCATTATAAATATGCAAAGCCGTTTATGCCCTTGGAATATTTTAGTTCTTTAAATACTTCACGCAGTGTACCAAAATATGTTTTATCTAAGCTTTCTGTATTTTGATTTTGCACACAAAAGTGGAACCAGTCTCTTGAGTCATTTGGAAACTGGTACAAAAGCAAAAAAAAAAAAGTGACAAATGTGGTTAATGGCAGAAGAAGGAAGGGAAGTTCTCTGGTGACTGGTATGTGTGTGTGTGTTTTAGAGAGAACGTGTATGTATGTGTTTAAGCATACATGCAAGCCTGTGCATGTGTATTCATTTGAGGGTGCGTAACTGGGAAAATGTGTTTGAGTTGTTGGCTGTGTGTGAGTGTAAGCATTAAAATGTGTGTGCTGATCACCATGTCCCAGTGAGAAGTGCTTACTCCAGCACTCTGTTCTGGGCGAGGCAGCACTGGCTCAACAGTGGAAGCTGGGGCTCCGATGATGAAAGCAGCTGTAACAGCAGCATTATCTCCAGGTTCATACACTTTTGTACCAGCGACAGTTTAGTGGAAGGTTCCCCGAGCTATGAGACCTTTTACAAATCAAAATATAGACTGTGACAGTAGAAGTTGTCTTGTTTCCTTTAAGGAAAAATCTGCAGCATATTCCTATAAGTGTGTGTATTTTAAGATTCTATAACCTGCATAGCAAACTCTGCCTGGCTCAAGAAAGCTTTTACACATGCTGGCACACAGGAAGAGATGCGTTTGTCACAACAGCAGTTTTTTTTTTTTTAAAGCTCAAGTACAAGATGAAAGAGAAAATGAAGAAACTTGGCAGCAGGGGTGTACCCACAACAAAAATGACCCAAACAACCCTGCCACCAAAAACTGCATTTGAAACACAGCATGTAGGGGGCTTTGTTGGTGGGGGCGTGGTGCTTCGGGTACCAGTAAGATTAAATACAATCCAAGATGTTCAGATGGAGTAATAGAGCAACGACTGTGAATAAGTCTAAAAGGATAACGCAGGTGATTTTCTTTCTTGGTTATTTTTCACAAGTCCATACAGATACTAAAACTAATAATGAGTTTTGTGTACTCACCATAATGTCTGTGACTCCAGAACCCGGTTCAGCTTATGGCTCTGTTGTAGATCCTCGTTGTTGTCTAAAAGACACACCAGCGTAAAACACCGCTGCCCTAAATAACATGCAGGATCTGCTCGTCACTCAGCATGTGGAGCATTTCTTCTTTTTTATATTTTACACTGAAGTAAGAGCGAATCAACTGAACGTGCATGTCACTTGAGCTAAAAATAAAATAAAATACTCCTTTTATACTAATGTGCTAGCATTGTGCATTACACATAACACAAGAAAATAGAAAATCACCAACATTATCCTTTAAAATAGTGCATGTATTACCAGGAAGGATTTTACAGCTCTGGACAGTCATGGTGACAACTATCAACAAGTTGTAATATGGTGTTTGCAGTACAAAATAATCTACTACCAGAAATGTTTGGTTGCACAGGATTGACTGGCACCATAGTGCTGGGTGGTGGTGTGTTGTGTTCCTGGCAATTTTCAAGCAGAACCAGTGTTAGTTGAGTCCGGTTTAAGGCATTACATATTGGTGCACTTCCTCTAGGCAGCCATGTCTAGGAAAGTGGTGAAGCTGCTTAATTACAGTATGCAACCGAGACTCGCTTCGTTAAAGAGAAGCATCATAGTCATGAATGGACTTGTACCTGAATTCAGCTTCAGAGATTCACATAGACCGGCAAAATAGCTGAAGCACTGTGTAAACGTCTGAAGCAGAAAGTAAGAACCATTTTACACTTTTTTCCCACAATATTTACATTCCTCTTTGTCATTCAGGAGCCTAACTCTCCTGCAGGCAGCCCTCCTCGCTCCCCCCATGGGAATGGATTAGACCGTGCCCCAACACTAAGGAAAGAGCTCCCAGGCTCCTCGAGCACGGGAGAGGCTCCCTCCACCCCAAACCCCCACAGTCCCACCCCGGGGAAGGCCAAGGACCCTGCACAGGTAAGATAGATTCTTAGGCTACTGCACTTAGCTGACAAGGAACACCTGTCCATGTTTCCTTTATGTTAACATGTAACAGTCATTTTTAGAAGCTTTAATTACACTAGAATTAAGAAAATAAGATTTTTTTTTAAATGGTAATTTTTATTGTATACCCTTAGGTTGTCTATAGTAAGCTATTGGAGAGTAACTAACTGTTATTTCGTATTGCATGGAGCAGCTACATGGATACTGGGGGGTGGGGGGGGTCTGTTGAGTTTAGTTGAAATGTGGTAAAATGGGATTGAGGAATTTGGTGTAATAAGGTCTAACTAAGAAATAACCTAACAAAGGGAAGGCTTGACCATCGTTAATGATTAACCACATCATTGTTATTATATTTCTTGTTTGATTTCTCTGCAGATGGATAAGTCTCAGTCTCCATTGTCCAAATCTGGCACCCCATCCCCATCCCATCGTGAGGCCCTTACTCCTGGAGCACCAGGAGCTCCTGGTCCCAGCACCTCCTGCCTTCGTCTGGTCAGCAAAGCAGCAACCGGTGCAGACCCCCTTGGTGAGACTGTTTAGATAAAATCTCTTGATTTGATTAGAGCAAAGTTAAAAAAATGTTTCTATATGACTGATGTTAAGGAAAAACTTTGAGATTCCCCTGAGTCCAACTATTACCACCTTGCTCTTAAGCAAGGCTTTTACCCTCTCTGCTCCTTTGTGGCCAGAAATAAAGACCCCTGTTGTATTTGATAAATCCCTGGTTTGACACTATGTTGGTGTGTATAAAATAAAGTTTAATGTAAGAGAAAGTTATCCATTCTTCCCAGCCTCTCTGACGTTGTGTACCATGTATTGTTCCCATTCTTTCTTTCCATCCTTGAATCCA